TCTTTATTATTTACGAGCGGCGCGGGACCCGGCCCGGCCAGACCACGGCGTTTCCAGCTGATCTGGAAGCGGCCGCGGGTCCGGACCCGGGTCCTCCGCCGCTTTGCTCCCCGTCTCCCTGGTCTGCTGGCTCCCCCAGCAGACCAGGGAGACGGGGAGCAGCTTTTCTCGCCCCGGAGGAGGTGGGCGGCGGGACCAGGCGTCCCGCCGCTCCAGTCCTCCAGGGCGAGAAAAATCCCCGTTCGTAACTGCGGATCCGACATAAGTCGGATCCGCGTAACTCGGGGACTGACTGTACTTCCTTAAGATAAGATGGCATGTTTTGGTGCAAAAGAGCTAGCATCACAACACAGGACTGAAGAAAAATGTCTCAGCAGTTCTCAAGCGAGTCCTTTCTTGCTGCTGGAGAGCAAGAGCCATTTGTATAGTACAACATCAGAGTCCAATCATACGCGAGGCACTCCAAAAAGAATACACACACTTAATTTTCACTTCAGCGAGAAACACAGCCCTCAGTGCACAAGTCACAATAGATGTTTCTCAGACATGAAGGATTCATAATGGAAATATCCCGAACCCGTGATTTATTTAATGCCACCTGGAGGCATCAAGTCCCCTCACAAGAGGGAGCAGAATTTAGGTTGACAGAGTTATGCTTTTATCTCGCAGACACTTCCCCCTCTCCAAATGATTTAAGATTAGTTCCTAACGTGCTGTGAAAGAGGAAAATTCAGAAATGTGACAAGTAAAATCTCTTTGAAAGTAATTAGGCAGGAACACCAGACTTATTTACATTTGCACAAGGGGTGCAAGCCGGGCACCACTGAAATCAAGGGAGCTTGGGCATGGCTTCAGCATGGATTACACCAAAGACCTTCTTCCAGATTTAAATAAAATAAGAGTCAAGCAGAGGCCTGGAAGATGGAGATAGTATGTGGAGCTGCTGAGGTCTTGCAATGAATTGGGACTTCCAGTGTTCCCTGTAAGTCGTGAGCTTGTGCGGCCACTCAGGGGAGATTCAGATGCCGCCCAGCTCATTAGCAGAGCACCCACTGCTAGATTTTTTTTTTTACACTGATGGTGCACATTCACAGATGCCTTGGGGGACATAAAAAAATCATTCCGGACATGGATAGAAAAAATCTGCACCCGGAGGGAAAAGACTGGCAGGAACATTCATTGGGAGTATCTTGTATTGCTGGACCAAGGGTCACGAGCGATGTCACTGGTTAGCATTAAGTCCAGATCAATGGCAATCAAAATGTTTAACCCTCTAGTCTACTGTCTTGTGGTCAGTATAAGAGAAGAGGTGAATTCAGTCCAGATGTCTCATGAGAAGAGACAAGCAGGAAGAAAAAAAGAGCTTGTGACTGGGCGACCAAAAAGTTATTTTCTGACTACAAAAGGACACCAATTCTACACCCTATGTGACGTGTTCCTTGCCTATGACTTAGTGTATATTAGCACGTTTCATTGCCATAAGTCACCCCAAAAGAGCTCAGTTGAAGCCAGCAATTATGGCGTTGAAGCTGTAAGATAGACGAGACTCATTCATTTTCATAGTCACCAAGCTCTTCTCTGATTTATGACTGTGAAGTTTGCGAGTGTGGGCACAGCATAAAAGTTGGTCTTCTAGATAGCACATGGAAGCATCCACTGCTTTTCATCCTCTCCTCCTTCATTTCTCTCACTCTCTCCCACTTTGTCTTGCTACTCTTAGCCATCAAGTAGCTCAATAAATCAGAATAACTAACAAATAGGACTGGATTTTCAGAAACAGCCTCCATTTTGTGCCTACAATTAAATACAGGTGCATTTTGTAGCACTTCATCTCCATTTGACGAGGCCTACAGAACAGGTAGAGATCGGTATGCTAAAAATTGCCCCTATGATTATTTTCACTACAAAAATCATACCCGCTGTTAAATGCAGGCATAAAACCAAAGGCATAGTTGAATTCCTAGAGAAAACTGGGTCCAAACTGTCACTATATCACTGTTTCTTAAACTTTTTAAGACTGAGGAACATCAAACAATATATATTTTTTTTAATGAGGAACACCAAGGATTTTTTTGTTGAGCGCAAAAAAAAAAAAAAGTCAAGGGGACGGCCTTTAAGGGCGGCCATTTTGAACTCTGTTGTTCACCGGTGTGCCGCAGAATACAGTTTAAGAAACACTGCACTATAGGGTGGCATATTATCTCCTTGTACTAATTTCAGTTTTATTTTCATGGGCATGATACTATGTAGTCTTCTGATACTTGAAAAGGGAACATGAGGGTTTAGATGGAGGGAATGATTACTGCACCTGGACTTTTCATTTCATAAAAGAATGTTTTGGGAAAAGATAAAATGTCTCAGACCCCGTGAGATCGCTGGGATTGAGATAACATGAGATCTTCTGTCATAGTTCCCTTTAGAAATGTAAGAATACCAAATAAAGGGCATACATTTGGCTAGAAATTCCACCTTCTATAATGCAGATATAAGGTATATGCAGCACGTAGATGTATCAGAAAAAAATAGAAGTAATTCTCTAGCATTTTTTTTTTTATAACAGAGGTTTTTTTAATCAAGTATTAATAGATGCATGTGCTGATGTATGAGCATTTCTTTAACAAGTCACATATTACTAGCTGAGGTCTCATCTGGTTTCAAGTGGGACAAACAAGCTATCATGTTATCAATGTCATTTAATTCTCCATTCATCCATGTGAAATTAATACAAAATATATAAGCATATTATTACTACTATACAAAAATCATTGTAATAAAATATCCATGTGCATAATTAACAGTGAGGAAACGATATACAGATTCTATGACCTGGGCTATAGGGCCATGAAATTGCTAAAATACAAATATGAATATTTTATTGTCCTATTAACCAGCAAGTTATTAAATGGGAAAAAAAACACACCACTTCTCTTTGACAAAGATATCTGAAACTACTTTATCTGTAATGTGCATGGTTAGGCTACAGAAATTGCTGTTCGGGTCCAAAAACTGTCATATTCATTAAAATATTTCCATAATTTATTTACAGCAGATTTACTTGTTACCCTATATCTACATGCATTTGAGAAAGTGAATACAGTTTTTTTTAAATTAATGTGGAACAAATCCCAAATCACTGAGGATCTGACCCTGACAAAGCCCAAAAACTATTAAGCGATTCACAAAATATAATGGTCTGTGATATATAAGTCAATCTAAATGGTCTAATGGTCCCTTTGGCGTTAAACTCGATGAAACTACGACTTCACCTATGTCAGATTATTACACACTTCCCATGTGGTTGTCCTCAAAAGTAAATTCAAATTTGTTTTAGAATAGAAAATACTCTAAGTAATAAAAAACAGCTGCATCTAGGAAGGCTTAAAGTGACAGTACATGCATTTAACACACTTTTCTAAACTGAACACACTTCAAAGCCTGACAAACAGAAGAGTTTACACTAAATCTGAACTTTCCAGAGTTAACTGTGCTCATGTTTAGAGAGATAGAGAGAGAGAGGGAGAACGAGAACAAGAACTACTGTGAATACAGTTATATGCTGTAGTGTGAAGTGTGGTCATACACTGCAACCACACATCTAGACACAGGGACAAAGAATATACACTACAGGTCTGGAGAGCTGAATAAATAAAAAGGAAATAACCTTCCTTGGCTCTTTTCCAGCTCTAAAAACCCCACTCATTTATTTCCTTGTTTTTAATCACTGGATCCACTGGAATGAGTCAATCAACAACTAACGGTAGCAGCAGACAGCAAGTTTTGCTAACGAATGCAGAGAAAACTACACACAGAATGAGATGCAGAAGAGCTATGAAATGCTCAAGAGACATGTTAAGTATGTAAGATCCCCAAAAGAACTGGAGAAGAGGAAAAATACGATTTTTTAAAAATGTATGTGGCAAGAATTATTTTTCCTCTGCATTCAATACCATTTGGAGAAAATACATACATGAAGAACTTGACTTTAAAAACAGAAGTAGTTCAATCTTGATGTTTAAAAAAAAATGGGAAGCTATGGACAACATTTTTTATTTTAAGTATATCCCAAGAAGAATAAAAAACTTGTCTTCTAGAAAGTGATGTTAAAACTATGTACTGAAATCCAGCACGTGATGAAAAAGAAGACGGCCAAACTGCAGAAGAAATGTATCCTCCGAACCCTCAAGGAAACAAAAATTCAAGAGAAATCTAAGGTAAGGCTTTCTTCATAGAAAAATCTACAGCAAGCCAAATCTAGAAAACATTTAAACATACCCCTGAGTGCATGGTTATTTAAAGTGTCTGCTTGTAAGAGGGAAAAGCAAGTGTTAAGTCTTGAGCAGAGTTTAGAGCTAGGGCAGGCTGTGTTTAGTTAAAGTCTTGCTCAAGCCGTAATGAACGTGAGCTCCAAACACAGTGAAGATTTTACTTCTCCCCTCCCATTGAAACAATGGGTGACTGTAGATGTTTGAGTTCCATAAATTGTCTATTACTCTCTTGTGATGGAGTCACCAGTGGTTTAAATGATTGCAGCGCTCCGACCTTCATCAGATAAACGAGGGACTGTAACCATTTAATAAATCTTCTATATCATTCACAACCACGTTCAAGGGGATAGCAGCTCCTTGGGGAAACAGGATTCTAACAGGGAAAATATAGGTACTGTGCGCTGCCTACATCATGCTAATACAGACAAGACACTCAGAATAGGAGTTGTACCTACAAGACATAAACATCATTTTTGGACTTTGTAAATAAAAATGATGCAATCGGCATATTTTGTATGTAGAGAAACCTTTCGGCATGCAAGTTCACATACCATATCTCCTGCTGTTGGAATATTCAAGAAGCTAAAAACTGTCGACTTCTCACAGCCTCATAAACCCTTCTGAATCTTACAGCTTTTCTACAAGAGCAATCAGACCATCAGATCCTATCAGCCAGAGATGGACCCAAGTCAATACTTTCATTTTTAAGCGGTACGTGCATCCCGTAAGGAACGGAATACAAGTTTAGACCCAACACTCTGGCATGGGTGCAGCAGATCACAGCATCAGATGACTGGTTTACCTTACTGACCATGCTGGCCTTTCTTCAGGATCGCACCGGACCAGAGAGGAACAGCCAGCTGCTATACCTGACAAAATGTCTGAGCAACACACAATTCCTGAATACATCCTGCTGGGCACAAAGATGTCCTATCCTTCCAACGGGTATGGATCTAGCAATGGATCTTTGACACAGCTCTCAGTAACAGGGGAATTCAAACAGAACTACTTGAATGACGAACAGGGGACTAGACCACGGTGGGCCGCTCTACTGATCCTAATGGTTATAATTCCTACCATTGGAGGGAATATTCTTGTTATACTGGCCGTGTCCTTGGAGAAAAAGTTGCAATATGCCACAAATTATTTCCTTATGTCCTTGGCGGTGGCAGATATGCTGGTTGGATTATTTGTGATGCCGATTGCCCTTCTTACCATACTGTTTGGTAAGTATTTCACTTTCTTCCTGCCATCATGCTTCCATAAGAGGAGCAAATTATGCTAAATATATTTTAAATGGGACAACTGCTTGTTTACTTCTACTGCTTAATTATGATAATGTTATTTTCTGTGAGCACCATCTGGCTAAACACTTCACAATTTCTCAAGACACAGGTTTAAACAAATCTGCTAAGACTATCCTCTCTTTTGCCTCACACCCTTTTTATCAGAGAGGCTAAAAACACCAAAGAATTTTACATCTAAAGGATCATCTACACATAGCACACACAGGAAAAAAAGGCAGACAGTGAATTACTATTTGGCAGTGCAATTTGGAACATCCACTCTTGTTAGATATTATACTCAAAACAGAAGTTCACACAAAAGTGCTACTCAGTTTGTGATAGTTTTATTTGACAGAATAGCTTTTCACTACTTTACAAGGAGTTGGTGCCACTCAATGAGGACAATTTTCTGTATCATTTATATAACTCGGGTGCATGTTTCAGACAATCTCTATGATCACTAATGGCAACAATTCTAAGGTGTCACCTGTAAGAAAACGGATTTTTCAATAGCCTTAGGGAACTGATGAAATTCATAATGTATTCCAAAAGAGAGAGAACCCATCTGTCTAGCTATCCCAATATCAGACCATCTGTGCAGCTGATGTAGGAGATCATGGTTGCCACTTACTCTGACTCACGAGGAATAAAACAGATTTTGATGAGATTATACACAGAATTTGGCATTTTCTTGTTCATTCCCTAATGACTAACAAAACCACACTCATTTTCAGGGACCTACTATTTAAAATGCTGCATTTATACCTAATTTGGTAACAACTGTATGGGGACATTTCTGAAGGGTGTCTGTCTCTGTTTTTATCTTGGTTTCAAGTTGCTTTCTTTTTTTAGGGTTTTTTAATTATCTATTTGGACATGTTAAGAGTTGTAGTGATATTGTGTCTATTTTTTCAAGTAAACCCCATGCAAGACTTTCATGCTGGCAACTCAACCTTTGAACTGAAGTGTACCCTTGACCCATAACTAATGATAGACAGCAGGAGTTTTGTGCTTTTATATTATATTTCTAAGGGTTGCCTTGGGGACAACAGACACAAATTTAAAGTATTAAATGCACAAAGGTAATCAGCAGACCTATTTCTCCACAAATGACTGCTGCCAATTTGGTGACAATTTCTTCCGAGTCATAAAAAATGCATCACAGTTAGTTTCGCTGTATAAAGTGTTACTCAGTATACAGACATGTAAAACTACAGGTAAGGGACACTTGTCTTTTCAAGCAACAGTTTCTAGAAAATGACTGTGTCACTTAGGATACAATTTTCTAATTGGGAAGAAAAAAATCTTTGTCAAAATGTACACAAACTCTGAGATCTTAATATAAAAGTTTCATAGTTTTTCATTAAAAACACTCCAATAAAACCAACTACCTTTCCCAATACCTCATTTATAGAGCAGCAGATAATATAACAGGCTGAAAGATGACACCTTAAAGAATAAGAAAATTAATAAATCATAAATTATAAACAAAATCTGCACAGTAGCCAATACAATAAGCAGCAAAATTCCATCTTTCTGAACTTCACTAATCTCCCAATAACTGATTTTTGCCTTTCTAATTTTCCTATTTTTTCTTTTATTATTACTTAATCTCTCAATTAATCCAGAGCTAAAGCTGTTTGTTGGAACCAAAGTTAAAATATGCTAGGAATCTTAATTTAGAATTGAACAAAAGCATCTTTCATGTTGCAGGAAGTTTTAAAGAAAAAAGTAAAATTAAATATAATTAAATAGGTGTGGTTAAGGCCACGGCAGGCGATTGACATAACTGACCAATGTTAAACTTTGAAATTACTTCTATACGAGGTCTCCTTGGCAGCCAAATAGAAAAGCATTTTGCCACCTGAGCAGCTGGTGGAAGATTTTTTCACTTGTATCTAATTATATGACAAATATACAGAGAAAGGCGTGAACTACTTAAATCCAGCAGCAACAATCAGCTCAGTTTTTGCTGGCACCATGCAACTGGACGTTTAAAGCTAAAATCCACTATGGATACTGACTCACTCAGAGAATACTTACAAAAGTTAATACTAAAGACTCTTAATTGCTCCTAAAAAACAAGTAGTCATGTGGCACCTTAGAGACTAACAAATATATATCTCCACTCAAGCCCACGAAGAAGAAGTAGGTATTGCCCACGAAAGCTCATGATTGATACTATAATCTCTCTCTCTCTTCTCTTTCCCCCCCTCTCACAGGACGACTCATTGTTTTTAAAGTCACAGACTAACATGGCTACCCGGAGACTTTTAATTGCTTCTGTAATAGAGACTCATTTTCTACATATCACCTGTAACAACTTAACTACTATAGTGCTGTTCTTAAATTAAATATAAATTTCAGAATGAGTGACTGAACTGTATTTCAGTATTGACTGAATGCATATGGTGGTTTTGATTTACAAAAAAAAGCTTAATGTCAGAATGTGTGAACTGCTAAAGTGTTTGCATGACTTTCATTAAAAGGTTAGCGTGTTAGAAAACTGAAGTGTGCTTTCAAATTTAGCTTTGCCTTGTCTCCATATTAACATTTAAAACAGCTGAAGCAGAATAAAGATTTTGACACGTATCTGCAAACAGCATCAACAAGTACTTGTGGGAGGGGTAATAAAAGAATCATAGGGGACTCAAGTGTCATCTAATTTAACCCTCCTGACACGATGCAGGCTTGATTGTGTAAAGATACTTTTCATTTTTGTGAAGTTTGTGGCTGGAATCTCAGTACCTGAGATGTTAGGGAGAGAGCTGGTTTAGGGAATAAAAGTCCTGTGCTGAGGTAGAAGTGTTTATGATACCAAAACTGGGCACTTGTCATGACCTTTGTTGTGTTGCAATGTGTACACTCTCCAGGTTTTGGTGACAAAGCTTGCTAGTGTAGACAAGGCCTATATAGTGATTTTCCATTAAAAAAAATCAGTATTACCATTGATATTTTGTGCCCTTGAAATACACCTTTAAATAAAAAAAGACAACACTGATTTTTCTGAGCAGTAAACTACTATAATGTGTCTCTCTCAAGAAACCTGGAAAACTCTCTCTTATACCAGTTATGGTTAGATTACACTGCAACTCATTCACCTGTCATTCATTTATGGGAATACACTGAAGACAGAAAGTAAGCGATTGTGAAGAGATTCTAGAAATATCACCAGAAGAGATCAGACCTACTTCAGGGAAGGCTGACTGAAGGAAACTAAAAAAGTTTCAGGGCAATTTTAATAAAAAGCATCTTTAGTTAACTATGAAATAAAAGTACTGTACCTTGGTAATTAACTTCTCCATGACTACAATTTTAGTTGAATTTATCAAGAAAATTGAACTTAACCATGCAAGCTGAATACAAAAGCAAGAAGAACAGCTGGGAAATCAAAGCCTATGATGTATCCTCCATCAAGTATTGTCATCAGGATAAATCATACTTGAGAGGCTACACACGCAGTAGCTTGTAAAATAAAATCTGAACTTACACTGATATGAAAGAGAGTGATAAACTTCCACCTCAATAAAAAACCTTACATCAACAAAATGACTCATAATGAAATCCCTTACAGGCCCCAAATTTCAATAGACTATAGAATACATTATAACAAAGGCAAAATAATAACTTCCAACACTTATGTAAAGGATTTTCTTTATCTCACTTACATGAATACATAATTATTGCGCCTTTGAATCATAAGCATTCAATCAGTACCAGCTCCTCTAACACGTATCTAGTTTTAAGGATTACCTTTTGAAAACCATATTCCCTATAAAGAAAGCTTTCCTCCTCACTTCAGTAAATCAAAGCCAGAAATAGTTTGTAAAAACCCATCATTTACTCAAGACAAAAAAATAAAAATAAAAAAATCCAACCCTGGACCTCTAAAATCAGGAATATTTTATTAAGGAAAACACAAGTAACTGGGACATTTAAAAATCTATGTACCTTTAAAAATAATCAACATTTTTAATGCCACAAGGCAGCATTACAAAGTAAGCTTTAAACACAGCTAATTATTTGCCCCAAACAAAATGAGACATTTGTGATGAGATAAATCACTATTTCTATAAACTGGAACTAACCCCAACCTGTTAAAAACTTTGCCTCCCTGCTTCATTATTTTATGTACTTGAGTTTTATTTTAAAATCAATTTTTATGAATATTCATCCACAGGGACAACACGTTTTACCAACAGATTGTTATAATATTCAAGGATCAAAAAATGCTCTACGAAGGCTGTCTTTACTATGCCTCCTCTCCCAATCCCAAGTTTCAGAAATACCTGAAGTGACAATTCACAGAAAGAAAACTCTACTAAGTACTGGAAGAGGTGGAGATCATGAAAACACAACTGCTGAACACATTTTTAAAATGCAGAGATTTATTTTTAATAACTTTTCTTCAAGTCCGTCTTTCATTTCTGCCAGGCTTGGCCGGGATTCTATAAAGAGCATTTTGCCCCAAAATGGTAGAAAGTCACGTAGGGTTTTGTTATATGTGCCCCAGGGGGAATGCAGAAATCTTTCAGGGAGTGCATCAACTCCTCCCTATTAATGCCTAGTTCTACAAACAGGCTACATAAAAAGCACTAGTGAAATCAGTACAAGCTAAAAACTGTATACAGACAAAATGAGAAAGTAAGCAATATTTCAGGAACAGTGTTCTGTGACACGGTATTTCTAGGTCTGATTTTGTAAATCAGTTGTTTTTAACTGGAGGTAAAATGTGGAGTACACAAGTCAAACCAGATTCCTGAAAGGGGAAAAGTTGAGAACCACTAGTGTATTGACAGATTTCAGAGTGGTAGCCACATTAGTTTGTTTCAGCAAAAACAACAAGGAGTCCAGTGGCACTTGAAAGACTAACAAATTTATAAGGGTATTAGAGCATAAGCTTTTGAGAGCTATAACTCACTTCCGCAGATGCTGTCAAGAAAAGGACACGGGGAGAGAAGAAAAGACTGTGACATAATTAGCACTGATGTCCCATCCCCATCTTTGTATCTTTTTTTCTTTCTTTTTCTCTTCAGCATCTGAGGAAGTAAGTTGTAGCTCACAAAAGCTTATGTTATAATATCCTAATAAATGTTAGTCTTTAAAGTGCCATCGGATCCTTGATGTTTTTAGCAATTGAAGTATTCTTAATACAGAGCTACAAAAATGGCCACAATAAAATTATAGATTTGATTCAAACAAAGGCTTAGGCTGACTATATCCCTTGGTTCTCATCAACTACTGCATGTAAAGATGCTGGAATAATTTTTTATGGAAAATCCACATTTTATACAAGTTCATAATGTGAAAGGCTGATTCCCCTCTCCTCCCTGTTTCAAAGAAAAACAAAAATATAAACAGAAGAAGGTTTCCAAATTTACAATGTGGTCAGCAAATACTAAACAGCTCTGCAGATCTTGTCAAACTTAATTACATACAAAAAAAACTGAGTTCAGAAGAAGGGAAGGACAGCTCCATTACCAAGCATTATAGGGTGCCTTTGTAATGAAAAAGTTAACTGAAAAAGAAGAAAATCCATTTTACTGCAATGCACATTTCCCCCTCTCTGCAAGGCTACCATCTACGGAGTACTGTATAAGGACTTTTGATAGGAAACACTGAATCATTCATTTGAAATTCAGCTATTAATGCCAACTGTACATCCTTTAGTATGCAAAATGTACGCTTTTGCATTCCACGCCTCATCCTCAGAACTGTGCTTACTTCATCTATTTAAGCCACAAAACAGTTCTTACCTTTTTAGAGAGAAGCTCAGTATTTCAAACACACCAAATTAATTAGTTATTTTTAACTACTAATTTTTTTCTGGAATGCTGGCTTACATAGGTGTTTGAATGACTGCATTCTAGGCCTTTGAAGTTAAAGAAGATACATCTTATGTCCTAATGATATTGTGGACGAAAGGTAAAAGTGAATCTGTGTCTGCTGAATGCTCCTATTAACGCATTTTTCCATACATCATTAATTCATTAATCAACTTTAAATTATTTTCTGTAACTAAGTTTCAGCTCTGCCTGACACTCAGGAATCATACATGTGACTGTCAAGACTTATGGCTAGTTTATTTAAAACGGGTGGCGAACCTCATGCCCAAGAGCCAGATGTGGCCCCCAGCTTGCCTGAATCCAGCCCCCAAAGCTCAGGGCTTCCCCTCCCCCAGCATTATGCTGGCACTCCAGTTCTCTCCCCCTCCCCACCCGCCACCCCACTGGGGGGCTGGAGCACACAAAATCTACTACCCTAACTGCCCCTAGGCTAGGGCTACTCAACACGTGGCTGTTTGCGGCTCACGGTGTGGTTTGGGTTTACATGGGGCTCAACATGCAGCCCCCGGGTGGGATCCTTGGAACAGGCTCCATAACGGCGAGGCATCTCCCAAGCAGGAGGAGCACTGACAGATGCAAACAGACGGGCTGGCTAGAACAGACGAGTACAGGGTGCTGGCGTTTCTAACCCCCAGGGAGGAGCTGCCGAGAGCGCTGGGGCATTGGGTGAAAGAAGCTATTTGCATATATTTGCATGTTATGCAACCACACTTAAGTTGCGGCTCTCGGCACGTGCTGAGAGTATCATTGTGGCCCCTGGGCTTCCAAAGTTGAGTAGCCCTGCTCTAGACTCTAGTGTGCGAGCGGAATGTGGGGAGTGTCCGGCTTCTCAATCAGGGACCTCATCAGTGAAAGTTTGTTCGTTTTTTTCCCCTCCCCCCTTTCCTTCTCACTTATGTGAGGCCCCCAAATGATTTTTCTGTGGATCAGCAGCCCCCGAGCCAAAGGGGGTTTCCCATCCTTGATTTAAAACTAGTAAATCCTTTTCCTTTATGCTGACCTCTTACTGGAATCTCATCTGGAGCGCAACTGCGTTAGGAGAGGTGCAATAATATTCTCAGTCTTCACCTATTTCTCTCCTTGGCTAAATTTCAACATATACATCATCAGGACAGATCAGTGTAAACTTTGCCTAGTTCAATGCGGTTTTCCCATCCTCCCCTAACTTGAAACTCATCATGTTGTTTCACCACAACAGTCATGGCAGCGTGAAATCAAATCTTCAAATCTTAAACTGTTGCAATGTTTATGCTACTGATAAAATAATGGACTGATGTACTAGATTAGCTCATTTAACACTCGCAGGACAATTGAAAAAAAAACTTTAAAAAACCAGCAAAGTTCTGCAGCACCTTAGAAACTAACAAAAAATGTAAAGGGTATCATGAGCTTTCGTGGGCACACCTCACTTGGGTTCTGCCCATAAAAGCTCATGATACCCTCTACATTTTTTGTTAGTCTCTAAAGTGCTGCAGAACTCTTTGTTATTTTTTTTTTTAAAGTTTTTACAGACTAGCACAGCCACCCCTCTGAGACTTCAGGACAACTGATCATTGTTTATTCGCAGCCAGGGAGTTAAAAGCTACATAGGTTTAAAACAAATCTCAATGGTTAGAAAATGCACACACACACAAAATCTTTCTATAAAGAGGTGATAATACTCCGACAGGGCCTCTCCAGATCAACATGTTCATATTGAAACAGAACACTAAGGTGCCTTGTAAGCTCAACAGTCACCCAGCAACAGTGCCCTGTGCTACAAATCACTTGTATGGGAGATCAATTTGTTTATGAAAAACCTCAAAAAAGCTTCATTAATGTCCATCCGCAGATGTTCAGCAGAGTGAATATGAGCTCTTCACGGGGAAGGCAGAGCTCCAAATGCCAACCCTTTTGAAGGTGAAAACAATACAAAGTGAACATCTGGATGCTGAACAGGCAGCAGCTGATGGGCTATTTTACTTGTACAGATGTTAGGCCCTAGAAAAGTAGGCCAAGTGCAGCTATGCTAAAGCAGATGTAACAAAGGTTTCTGGGTAGTCCCTGGGCAGAACTGGAGATAGGTTCAAGCAGGAACGCACCCTACACGCTTGCTTAAGTTGCAGAAGTAAGAAAGAAGCTGCATTCTTGTACCTGTTGTGATGAGGAACAGTTTGTGTTAAGAACTGATAAGAAAACTCCCTGTTTATGTTCTCCTTTTGGCCATAACAAAATGTCTCCTTGTTGCCCCGGTACCTGTCTTTTGGGCTGATAAGAAATTGCTGATGATTATGAATTGTTTAAGGACATGACATATAGTTGGTCAGGTGTGCATGGATACTAGAAGTTTCTTACTGATAAAGGGGGGTGGGTTGCTTGGGCGAATAGTCTATGACACGACAGAACTGTCTATATAGGCCTACCTGTTAATGAAATTGGGGCTGGCTCTCTTTGGAGATGGGCCACTCTCTATTGTAGTGCGCACTATTCAATAAAGAGCTTGTGATTGGATCTTGCTGGTGTTGCCTGTCTCTTTGCAGTCAGACAACGAACAGAGGCCATCCAGGTTTGAGTCCCCGACACAGAACATTAAAACAGATTAGCCCCAGCCAAAAATACAACTTTTAAGCTTGAGATATTGCTCTTGAAAACTATGTGAAGGAGAATTAGTTAATTTCTTTTAAGTAAAGGTGGTAGCCAGTTACTGGTGACAGAGTCCAGCTGAGCTGTCACGGCCGGGATGCAGTGTCACAGCAAACCTTTTAATTATAAACCTGTATGCACTAGAAAGACTGTTCAAGATATCCCCAACCCCAGAACTTAAGCCAGGCCTCAGCACTGCTATGACAGACAAGTCGCCACTTATTTTCCTCCTTCGTTAAATCTACCTCCAACCCAGTGGGCTTTACGGATATCATATGCATGAAGTACAAATCAACACGCTTTGTTATTAATCATGCTGATTACAGTACGTCCAAGATCGTGGCCCCCTATTGGGCAAGGCAGTGTACAAAGCTGCGACAGTCCCTGTCCTGAAGCACTTACATAACAGACACACAGAGAAAGCAAAAGCCATAAAATATACCAAGATAACAATGTGTTGACAGCAAGCATTAGTTCTACCATTTTCCACAGGTGAACGGGGGCAGAGGAGGAATCATATGAGGTAGTGTTTCTCAATCTTTTTTATAAAGAACCTCTTTAAAAAAATTAGAAGTACCCCCTTAAAAAATATAAATACCCTTAGCACCTACAGTTTTCACAATTTTTTCTACCATTGCAACACATTTGTTTAAACAACTTAATCGTACCCAACCAGGAGATGAAATTGTTGGGTGTAAAAAGTACAAAAATAATAAAGCACTGTAAAACTTAAAACAAAAATTCAGTTTTCTTCAATTTCAGTTGCGTTGACGTACCCCCAGACTGCTCTTGAGTACCCCTAAGGGTATTCGTACCACTGGTTGAGAAACACTGGTATGAGAGATTAAGTAAAGAGAAAAATAAAGAGAAAAGGCATGGAGAGAAATGTATGAGGGCAGGTATGGAGTGAAATATGGTTCCAAAGTGTTTATTAAGACCCTTCAGTGAAATGAATGAAGGAAGAAATGCACACAGACCACTCAAAGGCCATTAGAAATTAAATAACTTTCCTGTTCTCTTTCAGATAACACATGGCCTCTTCCCCCTGATGTGTGTCCTGTCTGGCTATTTCTTGACGTCCTCTTTTCAACAGCATCCATCATGCATCTCTGCGCCATCTCACTGGACCGTTACATTGCCATAAAAAAACCAATTCAGGCCAGCCAATACAACTCACGAGCTACAGCACTCATCAAAATAACTGTGGTGTGGCTCATTTCAATAGGTATGTGGGGCTTCTCAGATCTGCAAGGGAAAGGGATTCTCTATCTTTCCCAAGCATTGGAACTTGGGTAAGACTGCAAATGCGGACGTACTAGGAGGTGGCAGCCTATATTAATTGAGCTGATGTCAGTCCATTTCCTAGTGAGCAGGTGGCTACGTCACAAAATATAGTTAGCAGGTATGAACTGGCAGACTTATTAGTGACTGAATAGGAATGAAGTTCAAGGTTGGTTTTTTCCCCACCCGCAGAAGGATACAACACACTGAGGAGCAGCATGGGGTGGCTCACACTGCAGCTGCTTCTGCTGTATCTTTTCTCGGAATGCAAAACGTTAAGTTTCAGTGCTGTTAAAAACAGATTTAATTTTAAGCCCTGAAACAGTTGCTGTTGAAATTGCTGAATTTTGGTTTAATGCTGTATAGAAAGAAGGACGCACACGTAAAAATTTCATCTTTCAATCACTGATTCAAACAAGTGAGCCGCCAGTAACATATATTTCAGAAATTAAAGTTTGCTGCCAAGATACAAAAAGTCCAAAGTTTAAGCTTAAAAAAATTATAAATGAAGTGCAAAATGTACTGGTTATTATTCACTTCTAAGTGTTTTCTGAACTCTGCAAATGGCATCTTGCCCATCTTTAATAAGTTTGTATACAAAATGAAATTTCTGACAGCATCAGATTCAGAGATCAGAAGTGGTCAAGCATTAAGTCCAAATTATGGCAAATGAGCAAGATACAAAAACAGCACTACAAAAGCAAATAATGCCACACAGAACAAGAAACACTCTGCCAAGAGCAGTTTTTCCTGGGTAACTTAGGCTACTGACACAGTGTAGGTGAAAAGAGTTTATAACTGTGCTCTTGACCTACATATGTGCTCCTATGAACAAGAACTCCCAATGTAATTACATTTAGAAAAGTACTTTGACGGGAGAAAAGATTTCTCCATTTTAAAATAAGAAAGGAAACTGCCGTGGAAGCAAGATAAAAATTGACTTTCTAATACAGGCAATCCCCGGGTTAAGTACAAGATAGGGACTGTAGGTTAGTACTTAAGTTGAATTTGTACTTAAGTTGGAACTGGCGTCCAGATTAAGCCGCTGCTGAAACTGACCAGCGGCTGACTACAGGAAGCCCGAGGCAGAGTTTCTCTGCCTCCCCCCAGCAGACCAGGCTTTTCTCGCGGACGCCTGTGGTAGAGCAGCTGGGGCGCTGCCGGTTGGTCCAGTAGCGCCGCTCCTAGGCGCTACTGGACCAACCCAGCAGCACCCCAGCTGCTCTGCCCCAGGCGTCCCCAAGTACGGATCCGACATAAGTCGGATCCACGTAACTCGGGGACTGCCTGTATCTGATTTACTCGTATACCCCTTATCATAAAAAGTACACAACAGCAAAGCCACAGTTCTTTAACTCAAAGGTTAATTTGATTCAGACTTTGTTTTAAATGTTTGCTGTTTCCAAAGGTGTGTCTGTTATTAAGGAAGGGATCAAGTGACCGAAGGCTAGGTCATTTCACAGCTTTCGAAAGACACTGCTAAAGCGGATGGGGGATGCAGAAGTACAATAAATCCCTAGATCTTATTGAAAAGTGTTGGGAGAGAGTAGCACGAACCACCTTCATCAGACAGACAGGAACCTGTGTTTGTCACCAGGTAGACCTTTACCAATAAAAATACTGTCTCATTTCAGTCATAGAAAGTTCACTTAAGACAAACCCTCTGACTTGTTTTTAACTATTTTAAAAATAGTAACAAAGCTTAATTTAAAGACGTTAAATAGCCAAGCAACTTTAAACAACAGATTTATACTGAGCACTCATGTAAACAACTGTATATTCAAGAGAGAGTTAGCACAGGTGAAAGACTGCTGGCGGACAACCTGATCAGTTGATGTTCAAGATGAGAGAGAGTTAAACAGTGGCAATTTTCTGGATCAGGTCTTCAGAAAACCCAAAAAATACATGCAGGAAGAGTAGGAGAGAGTAAGGAAAAATGTTAATTTACTATTGCAACTGCTCCAAAGTTTAATTTAATATTAAAGAAATAGAAATATAATGGTGATTGCCTGTGTCCTAGAACTGGAAGGGACCTTGAAAGGTCATTGAGTCCAGTGCCCTGCCTTCACAACAGGACCAAGTACCATCCCTGACAAATTTTTCCCCCAAATCCCTAAACGGCCTCCATGAGGATTGAACTCACAACCCTGGGTTTAGCAGACCAAGGCTCAAACCACTGAGCTATTCCTCCCCCTAGGACTTATCTGGCTTCCTGAACTGTTTAGTGTTGGAGGTCACTCTCAGTTAAAGATGACCAGCTTTTAATGTTGAGGTAACTGAATTTATTCAAGTTCTATTTACCCAAATCTCCAGCTAATACTGTTAACAGCACTTAACTCACTGGCTCGATATAGCTCTCTCGAAACATGCTTCCATATACACTCTGAAGCTACAAAATTATAGAATACTAGAACTGGAAGGGACTTTGAGAGATCATCATGTCCAGTCCCCTGCCCTCATGGCAGGACCAAATACTGTCTAGACAATCCGTGATAGACATTTATCTAACCTACTCTTAAATTTCTCCAGTTATAAAAATTCCACAACCTCCCTAGGCAACTTATTCTAGTGTTTAACCATGCTGGCAGTTAGGAAGTTTTTCCTAACATCCAACCTAAACCTCCCTTGCTGCAATTTAAGCCCATTGCTTCTCGTCCTATCCGCAGAGGCCAAGGATGACAATTTTTCCTCCCTCCTCCCTATGAGACACTTTGAGATACCTGAAAGGGTCTAGACCAACTGGGTCCTGCCATGAGGGCAGGGGACTGGACTCGATGACCTCTCGAAGTCCCTTCCTGTCCTAGTATTTTATGATTCTATGATAGCTCATGTTTTCTAGACCTTTAATCATTCTTGTTGCTCTTCTCTGGACCTTCTCCAATTTCTCCACATCTTTCTTGAAATGTGGTGCCCAGAACTGGACACAATACTCCAACTGAGGCCTAATCAGTGCAGAGTAGAGCGGAAGAATGACTTCTCGTGTCTTGCTCACAACACTCCTGTTAATGCCTCCCAGAATCAGGTTTGCTTTTTTTGTGACAGTCACACTGTTGACACATATTTAGCTTGTGGCCCACTATGACTCCTTGATCCCTTTCTGCAAGACTCCTTCCTAGACAGTCACTTCCCACTCTGTATGTGTGAAACAGATTGTTCCTTCCTAAGTGGAGCACTTTGCATTTGTCCTTATTAAACTTCATCTTATTTACCTGAGAAGCAAGGGAGACAGACTGCAGATGATACCAAGCTGAACTATTTATGTTTTCTTTCTGTAGGCATCGCCATTCCAGTCCCAATCAGAGGTATAGAGGATGGAGACAGCAAGTCCATAAACATCACATGTGTCCTGACAGTCGATCGTTTTGGTGACTTCATCCTATACGGGTCGCTAGCCGCATTCTTTGTTCCGCTTGCAATTATGATAGTCACTTACTTTCTGACCATACAAGCACTCCGTAAGAAGGCCTACTTGATCAACAAGCCTCCTCAGCGCCTAACTTGGTCTACTGTGTCTACAGTATTCCAACGGGATGCAACAGCTGGCTCATCGCCAGAAAAGGTGGCCATGTTAGATGGCTCTAGAAAGGACAAAGTTTTGCCCAGCACAAATGAAGAGATGTTCATACGCAGAATGTCCAGTGCTGGGAAGAAGTCTATGCAGTCCATCAGCAATGAACAAAGGGCCTCAAAAGTCCTGGGGATTGTATTTTTTCTTTTCTTGCTGATGTGGTGCCCGTTCTTTATAACAAACATAACTTCCGTTTTGTGCAACTCCTGCAGCCAGGAAGTTATTCAAAGGCTAATGGAGATATTTGTTTGGATAGGCTATGTATCCTCAGGGGTGAACCCTCTGGTCTACACGCTCTTCAACAAGACATTCAGGGAGGCATTTGGCAGGTACATCACCTGCAATTATCGGACCACAAAGCCAATCAAGGCCCTTCGGAAATGCTCTAGCAGGATCTCTTTCAGAAATTCAGTGGCAGAAAACTCCAAACTCTTTATGATGCATGGGATGCGAAATGGGATTGGTCCTGTTATGTACCAGAGCCCAATGAGACTTCGTAGCTCCCCGATCCAGTCATCATCAGCCATTCTATTGGACACATTGCTGCTCACAGAGAATGAAGTTGATAAAACAGAAGAACAAGTGAGCTACGTATAATGGAACAAAAAGCATGTCCACAACTAATTATATGACTATGCATTGTAGGTAAATATGCTGTATGAGGATATAATATTACTCTTCTGTTATTTATAACTAGCAAAATCTTACTGATCCTATATTATATTCATTGAACTCCTCAAACTATGGTTCCTTTATCCAGGATCTTCTCTGCTTTACCAATTTAAAAATATCCCATTGAAGTAAAGGCAAATTTCATTCAGTTATAAATAGCAAATATCAGAGCATTGTAGTTTAGAAGCGGTGGGATATAAATAAAAGAAGCTGAGGCAACTCTTGTGTGTGACTTCAGTTTTCCATTCTCTCTAGCCTTTTTAAAGTACATTTCTATGAAGACACCCTTAGATACAAACACTAATGGTCTCCTTGATTTTATGCTTAAAGCAGACAGGACTCAAATAGGCTTGTATTCTGCCCAAGAGAGAAAGAATGAAACTACCAAGTGCACACTTAGGGCATGTCTGCACAGCAGAGCCAAAGCAGAAATAAGCTATGCAACTTGAGCCATCAGTTGCGTAGCTTAAGTTGAAACAGCTTATTTCAGCTTTTGGAGCTGTCTACAGAAGGAAGTCCGAAAAAGAGCACTCTTCCTCCAACTTCCATTACTCCTTGTACAATGAGGGTTACAGGAGTCAGAGTAAGAAGTCCTCCAGCTCAACTGTTTGTAATGTAGACATGGACTTTGTTATTTCGGAATAACATTAGTTATTCCAAAATAACACTGCTGGGTAGACATAGCCTTATTGAACTGACAGAGTTTTTTGATCTAAACATGTGTAGAATATACAGAAAGCATGACTTTATGATGGTTCACAAGGGATCAGTAAAGTTTCTTATTGGATACTCTGTTGATTCTGTGCATCAAACAATGAGGTAAGATTGTTCTAGCAGCAGTAGTCTGTGCTTGGTCTCTTGTGGGGAAAGGGTGCCATAGGAAAATGCATTGGTATCAGAGATAAATTTTCCTTTGTCCATTCTGCAGGAGGCAAACTCCGTCTTTGACAGTAAGAGATGGAAATTCCACACGCTAAAATTGCCCCCGTGTGTTTTTTTTCCTGCAGAGGGGAAAATCTCTTATGTTATTGAATTCATTTCCTCCTCCATGGCTCTTGCACATGGGTTTGTTATTTTCAAGTTACTCTTGAACATTGAGCTGTTAGTTTATTTTATCTGAAGAAAAGCTGAGGTATTTACTTTAACAAGAAGGATGACAAGGCACTCTTGTATGTTAGCACCAGAAGGTGAGGATTCTGAGAATGTCTCTTAGTTACCTCAGTTAGAAGTGATTTAATAGGTCAAATTATCTTTTTTCGTTCATTATTAATTAATTTAATCCTCCTCCATGGGCCAATACAGTCATGAAACAAGACAGAAAAGCCTGGGGTCACATAGGCTATGTCCACACTGCAGCGCTATTTTGCAATACCGAAGGTATCCTGAAATAGGTATTCTGTGTCTTTTGAGAGTGCCCGTTATTTCAAAATAAAACGGGCTCGCTATTCTGACATCCCTGTAAACCTCATTCTGCAAGGAGTAAGGGACCTTTCAGAATAGTGGTTTATTTCAAAATAAGTGCTGTGAAGACAGTTCCTAATTTCGAAATAAGCTATTTTGAAATTAACTCAAAATAAGCTACGCAATTTTCATAACTCAAATGGAGTATCTTATTTCGAGCTTCAAGTGCAGTATAGACTCACCCAAATAATGGAATAGTTATTTGGTTAGAAAGTAACAGGGATGTGAGAGATGTCAGATGAGGATCTTTTTAAACTCTATGCATGAAATCTTAGCCTCCATGAAGTCGATTGGAGATCTGTCACTGATTTCAAGGAACCAAGATTTCGGACTGAATTCACAGGATAGCAAAATTCTGAAGTCATCTGGATATAAAATTTGCCCGTCAGAAATATCATTGCCTTAACTGCTGTCACACAGCCTTGGGATCACCACTGATCAATTCCAACTCCTCGATCAGGCAGGTTTCCTTTCAATGGGTGGAGAAGAGGGGTGGAATCCAGAAAATTCAGCACATACCTGGCCCTCTCTCCTGACCATTTATGCTTTCCTAGTCTTATCTGTAACTCCACCTTTCATGTTTTATGTACATATTCATTTTACAGTATTGCCATAAAAATGTTTATCAACTGTAACAATGTTTAAGGTCTCCTGGAAATCCAGTATTTTGGTAGCTTCAGCCACCACCTTCTCAGGTAAAGATTGTGAAATTGTGATCTGCTAAGCAAGGATGTTTTAAAATGGTTTGTACCAAGAGAGCAGAAAGTTTGGCTATCAAGTTAGTATAAAGAGTCATTAGCAATGCTGACTGAAACACAGATCAGTTACAGAGATCCTCAGAGTCTTTCCTGTTTCATTTCGAAGAGCAGAAGAGGCATTCTTAAAATTAACACCAAACAGATATAGGGTACTAAACCTAAAACTAAGGCCACATCTCCATTTTCCAGAGGATTGATGCTGCTGCGATCAATCTTCCGGGTTTTGATTTAGCGGGTCTGGTAAAGACCTGCTAAGTGGAACACTGAGGATGCCCCCATCAGCACCAGTATTCCTCTCTGTTGTGCGGAGTAAGGGAAGTCAATGGGAGTGTCTTTCCCACTGACTTCCTGCTGTGGGGCCGTCCCAGAAAAAAAAAAAATCGGTGCAAGGCATGTCGACTCCAGCTGCGCAATTCACGTAGCTGGAGTTACGTATCTTGCATCAATTTTCTCAGCCCATGTGGACCTGGCTCAATTGTCTTTACTCTCTCTTGAATGCGAGTTAACTACAGCCTTTTCCTGCAGCTTTGATACAGTTATTGCTTCCAGCCTCACGCCCCAGGCTTCACCGGTGTGAATTAATGACAATACATCACCCACAAGCTTGTGACAATATATTAATTACCAGAAAAATCAATCAGGGTGAAACTCAAGGCACTTAGACCTTTAATGCTTTAATTTATCCAAAGAGGAGAATAATCATGTTACTTAGTATTTATACAGCATCTTCATCAGAGAATGGCAACAACCTTTAAAAAAGGTGTCACTTCTGTACAAAGAGGAAATTAGGGAACATGTGATTTTAAAGAACACAGAGTGAGTCAATGGCAGAGTATGAAAGAAAGCCCCAAACTCTCCTCAATTCCAGCATCTTGCTTTAATGAGTAAGCCTTGACTACACAAGGGAAGCCAACAATGGCACTCTCTTTGCAAAAGGCTAGTTTAGCTCCTTCGTAGTAAGGAAGGCAGAGCACTAACAAAATCGGTGGGGGTTTAGGGCTCATTCCTATACCCTTTCAAGCCAGTGGGAAGTCTGCCATCTACTTCAATGAGTACAGAAACAGGTCCCTTGGACTTTACTAAGATAATGCTGCTCTCGTCAAGCTCAGCATCCCACCTACACTATGGTTTCCAAAGCTGGCACCATCAAAGGACCTACCAGGACATTTCCATATCAGCTAGAGCTGTGCATGAATGCATCTAAACTGAACTAGAAAGTACAGGCAGTCCCCAGGTTACATGGATCCGACTTACATCGGATCCCTGCTTACAAACGGGGTGAGGCAACCCTGCACTAGCTGCTTCCACCCCAGCAGACCAGGGAGACGCGGAGCAGCTTTTCTCAGCAGACACCTCAGCTTGAGAATAAAGGACTGAAGGAAGTGAGGTGTGGGAGAATAAAGCTGAACTCTGGAGAAATGTTTGGCTAGAGTTTCCCCTACAATATGTACCAGTTCCGACTTGCATACAAATTCAACTTAAGAACAAACCTACAGTCCCTGTCTTGTACGTAACCCGGGGACTGCCTGTGGTACAATAAAGAACCAGAGAGCATGTACATCTAACAACTTTCTGCAGTCTTTGTCTCAGTCATCTATGAGAAAAATCTACAAATACATTCTGCTAAAAGGAAAGGGAGTGCCTTTATCTCCCCCAACAAGATGTAAAAGTAACGCAATGGCTACCACAGATCCAGAGGCTCAAAAACGTCTGATAGTGCCAGATGATTACATCACTGGTTCTTCTTGGAAAGGAAATCATATTTCCCAAAGGTATTTTTATTCTTACAAGCGGTAATCACTGTGTCATCTTTCCAGAGTTTTCATTTATAATCAGTACCAGTTTCAGCACAAAAGCTTTCCTCCCCTTTCTTTAAGCTTTTTAAAGCTCCATTTTAAGCCAGTAAAGCCGAGGTGTCAAAATTATCTACAGAATGGAAAGCACTGCAGATAACGTGTCCTACCAAATACGTTTTATATAAAAGAGAACCTGAAGTAACCACTGCCAGCAAATCCCAGGAAAGAGTATTAAAATGTGTTTCATTGGGAGTTACATTATTCCTTCCCCACCCATCCCCCTCATTAAGCATTTAAAAAAAATGGGAAAGCTTTTCTACTAGTCAAAATTTCTGCTAGAGACCTCTGTCATCAAAAGACCCTGTAGTAATGAGATGTCAAAACAGCCAGACTTGAAGGGAGAAAACCTGATAAATCAAAAGCGTCACTTTGATCCACTTTATTTTGAAACTAAATTTTTCTTCTACAAATTTCTTGGAAAATATTGCACATAATGACCCAACTTACAAGGCAGGTAAAAGCACACTGGAGTAAAGTGTGTTCAAACTCCTATTTGGAGTGGTCTGATAGCTGTGTTGGTCCCACGATATTAGAGACACAAGGCGAGTGAGGCAATGTCTTAATCAACTTCTGTTGATGCAACAGACAGCTTTCGAGGTAGACAGAGCTTCTCTTCGGGTCAAATTCATAGGTGGGCTTATCACAGCAGGCTGAACCTCTCTAACCCAGCACTCTCGGATACAGCAACATCTGTGGTCCGGCATCATTTTAGGTAGCCTGAAGTTTCCCGCAGTCCCATAAAGTGTATTTACAGCCACCAGTCCTAGCCCTCAGTGTTCGGTGCTGTTGTTTAGCTCTAATTTATCCCTAAGTGTCTTCTAAGAGCCCAGTAAGAAGCAAAAGTTTGGGGTTGGGGGCCACTGACCCACAGAAAAATGAATTGGAGGCCGCATACAAGTGAGAAACAAAAAATAAAAATAAACAGAAAAACCCCAAACCACTCACTGACATGGCACCCTGACTGAGGAGGAGAAAGACACTCCCCACATTCTCCTTGCACACCAGAGCCTGGGGGGAGGTGTGTGTGTGTGTGGGGGGTGGGGGGGGAACAGCCCAGTATATTTTGTGTATCCCAGCTCTGTGGTGGAGTATCGCGGGGCTGGAGGGGCAGCATGGATTCCCCAATGCAGGGGGACCCCTGAACCTCAGGGGCCGGAACCAGTCCCAGAGCCTGAGGTTCTCCACCCCTGTGCTAGATAATACTGACCTCCCACGGTCCAGCAAACTCTCTGGTTTGGCACCAGTCAGATCCTGAAGGTGCCGAACTAGAGCGGCTCAACCTGTAGAATGATTTGCAATCGTGAAGACTGATATTTCTTTAAAGGGAATATTCCTCACCCTTCTTCAGGAACCACTGCT